GGAGGCGGAGCTTGCAGTGAGCTGAGATCCGGCCACTGCACTCCAGCCTGGGCGACAGAGCGAGACTCCGTCTCAAAAAATAAAAACAAAAAAACAAAAACAAACAAACATATTTTAAAAGGAGTTCTACTTTCTCGGACATCAATGCCAGTGTTTTAGGGACAACTTTCATCTGAAGTTAATGTGGCCAAGTAGTTTTAAAATAACTTAGTAAGCTTCAAGGTTGTAATTAACAGTATAACTAACATATTCACTGTAATTTAGCCTAAGTACTTATATAATTATGTAGATTTATATAAATTACATATTTAGGATAAGTCAATAAGCATTCTTTCTAGATGATTTGAGCTAATTTCCTAATGCTTTCTTCCTGTCATAGGCATTTACCATCCTCAGCTTTCACAAATTTAGGAGGGATGAAAGGTATTTCCATTTTGAGTTACAATGAAAATAATTAGTCTTGTCAGGAAAGATTAGAAGATAACAGTATATAATAATAGCTAGGACAAGGACATCTTAGAGGCTGGGCACGGTGGCTCACACCTGTAATCTGAGCATTTTGGAATGCTGAGCCAGGAGAATTGCCTGAGCCCAGTAGTTCAAGACCAGCCTGCGCAACAGAGTGAGACCCCCTCCCCCACAATCTCTACAAAATATAAAAAATTTGACCAGACGCGGTGGCTCACGCCTGTAATCCCAGGACTTTGAGAGGCCAAGGTGGGTGATCACTTGAGGTCAGGAGTTTGAGACCAGCCTGGCCGACGTGGTGAAACCCCATCTCTACTACTAAAAATACAAAAAGTAGCCAGGCGTGGAGGCATGACCCTGTAATCCCAGCTACTCGGGAGGTTGGGGCAGAAGAATCGCTTGAACCTGGCGAGGACGGTTGCAGTGAGCCAAGATCCCGCCACTGCACTCCAGCCTGGGTGACAGAACAAGACTCTGTCTCGAAACAAACAGAAAAACTAAGGGTTACCCTTGGAGCAAGAAAAACTGAATATAGGAAAAAGCCCATTTAGAGAAGTGCAATCCAGCCTGCTGTGATGAGGCTGCTGAAAGGTCATGGCCTGGCATTAAGCTCTTTCACAGGTGCTCTCATGATTTCTGGGTTTCTAGTATTTTC